TCCCTAGTGGGGACAAGTACCTGCTGCACGAGGTGTAGGTCCTGTACGCACGTCAGGAACTTTTATGAGTGGCTAGTATATAATATTAAGCATATTTCAATAGAAGTTTGAATTGAGCTTGCCTACTAAGATATATATACTTGCAAACTAACAATCAGGAAAAATTCTGTTTTTGGTTAAGTGAAATGTTCTGTTTTCATTTAACCTTTTAAAAATGTACTGTAATTAGCTTAGACTTCAAAAGGAAATTATAGGTTTTTGATTTTGGGAAATGTTTGGTTTTTAGCATTTTTCCCTTAAATCAGAAACATCAAAAACTTGCATTTTTGCTGCAGTTTCAGTTTGATGCATCTGTTTTCTAACTAAAAATGTTTATTTTTTTTAAAATTCTGTTTTTGCTTTGGTTTTTATTTCTTATTGAAATTACTTTTGGGTCTGACATGATTTTCTTTTATGCTTGACTTAGCCTAATACAGTCTTTGAAGTTCCTGATAAAATTCCATTTTGGCTGTCCCTGCTGCCAAAGTAGGGGTATATAAATGCTTGTATGGAAAAACGTGTACTGAGTTGAAATGGTTACTTATAAGATACTAGATTTGTACTGGGATTTTAAAGTAAGTCTCAGACAAGAAACTTGTTGTTGAAAATAGTAGTAAACAATATTGTAGCTTGCATATGTGAAATGCAGTTACTTACCAATTTCTAATAATTTGGGATATCCTGTGCACTGTAAAAACACGGTCTGCACATTCAACTTCAATGTTTCCATTTGTGTTCACTATTTTACAAAAATATCTTTAATCTAATATTATAAAACTCTGTCCTGTCTGGAGGGTAGGCCCAGCCCTGTCCCCAAAGGGGAAGGCAGGCCAGATGTAGGCCTCTGCCCAACCTGCACCCCTCCCCCTGTCATTCTTGACTGGCAGTTGGCTAGTATTAGTAGAAAAGCAACAATATTAGATATGTTCAAGTGGTAATGTGCTGACTCACAAAAAAAATTTAAAAGAATTTCAAGAGGAGATGCTGTGGATGCTGTTGCCCATATCAGGGTTTCATTCTAACCTCTGATAGAGATTTAGTTTTAAGTCTTCATTTGTGATGTTTAACATTCCTTTCAAAACTCCTCCACAATATTATAAATAAGTAAGTGTTATCCTCCTGAATATCTAATCTCTTTGAAACTTGCAAATCTTGTTTTTCTTCCAATTTAAGTTCTTATCTTAACTGTACCATAGCTAAATGCAAAATAATAAGGTTGGATTTTCCACTCTTTAGCACTTGTCCCCCAATCTGAGGAGCTCCCCACGGGCCAGAGGATATGGCAGCTAACTGCTGGACCCCAGGGAAGTCGCATGGGCCAGATAATGTGGCCCTGCTTACTAGACTGAGCGAGTGGTGTGGCTGGGGAGTGAGCAGAGTGGCACACGTTCTAATCTGGCCTTCAGACTGGCCATGCACCACTTACCTAACATACATAGCCAAAAGATTGAGCATACCTGCTTTATAAAATACCTTTCTTGCCCAAAAGCAGGGGTGTCAACTACAGCCTGCAGGCGAGATCTAGAGTTCAGAGCCCTGTCATCTAGCCCTTGGGGCCAGAAATTTAATTGCAGCAGTGGCGGTACCGCTGCTGTGGCTCCTGGAACTGTGGCAAACACAATTTGTTTCACTACCAAATTTCTGATCCCTGGCCCAACTCCAGATTGTAGAACAGTGTCATGTGGCCTGTGGGGCTGCCCAAGGGTCTATAAATGTGGCAGCTGGACAAGTGGTAGCCGTGGCTCTGGGAGTTTGTCCAATCACTAAATTTCCAGCCCTGCTAGCAGCCCCATAGAACAAATTAGGCAGCTCCATGCTCTCAGTTCAGCTTGCAGATAAGCCCTACAACCCAGATCTGCCCTGTGTGGTCTGATGAGTTTGTTACCTGTGCTACCTCTGCCCAAAAGCTAAATAAAGCTTACTAGTACAAACAGATTGCTTTAGATTGCTATCTCTCCTTCAAAATAATTAAGAATCATGTTTTGGCATTAATTACAACACATGTATGCTTTTCAAAATGATCTAAGTAGTACTGAATTCAGTGTGTCCTGTAGTTACAATTGTATTTATCCTCCCTACAGGCTGTAGCAGTCTACATAGAAAAAGGATACTATAAGGAGGCTTCTGGAGTCCTTGACAGACTAGATTCAGAACCAAATAAGGTGGGTAATCTATAACCTTTGTATTTTAAACTGTATATGTTGAGCTTTGAGTAGAACTGTAGAAGAAAAATCAGACAACTTAGCCTAAAACTGATTCTTTTTGCCTTTCTTCGCCTTTATAATTCACTTGGTGAGAGAGTATTTGGATGTGGAGTAGAAAATAAAGCCTTACCTAAATTAAAGTTTTTAAGGCATGATCTAAGCTCAGTACAATTAATATTGTCTAAAACTTTAGTCAAAAACCAGTTATACCAAGGTCTGATGCTCATACCCATCCTCTACCTGAACCAAATGAACATAATGGGTGTGTCTACATGAGACATTTACTTTTGAGTTGTCTAATTAGCTCCACAGTAAATGTCTCGGCATCTACATATACTGCCCTGTTAGGCCACAGGAAACAAATTAACTCTGCAGCAAGTAGTACTTGTAAATACAAGTACTATCCTGCTGCAGAGTTTTTTCATGCTCAGCAGCGCTTGTGTAGACACTGTCAGGGCTGGCTGGGGCATGAGGGCATTTCAGTGCAGGGACTACTTACTGGCTAGCTGTACACTGGAGCATCCTCGTGCCACAACCAGCCCCTCCATGACACATTAAGCTCAGTTGGAGCAGTCCTAGGCTGGCAGGCTGACACTCTTCTTCCCCCCCACCACTCCCTTGCAGGCCTCCTGCCAGCCAGGACTACTCTAAGCTGGCTCTACATGCCTGGGCACAGGTGTAAAAGTGGTGCCCAGGAGCAATAAACTCTGGTGCGATAAGCACCGGAGTTTATTGCATATTAATATGCACGTGTAGGCACACCCAGTGTGATCCAAATCTCCAGTGAACGGTTGTTAATTGAATTGAGATGATTTACATGAAGATTTTTAAATACATAGACTTTTTTTATTTAAATTTAAAACTTTTAAGGATGCATTCAATTTTAAATAGGTTTGACAACCTTTGTTAAGGTTTTAAACTCTGAATCGTTTAAAGTATGTGCTTTCTGGTGAAGTTTTAAGGTCAGAATTCTGAATTGAGAGAACTCCTGGCTAGCACTTTAAACCAGAGGTTGTTGAAGTATTAACTCAACTTCTGCCTTTTTCGTGTGTAAAGGGAACGTTTTCTTCATTTTTAATTCATAAGAAACAACTAACTAGAAATTAAAAAAGCATGAAAGCTTGTTTTTTTCCAATCTACTGAACTGGGGTATGAGAACGAGATTAACTAGCTCTAAAATCTTGGCAGATAACTATGGAAAATACTTTCATTTTAATCACAATGAAATGCAAAACCTATTTTTAAAAAATGAGACCTTCAGATATGCTGGATACAGAAATATATTTTTCTTAAATGATTTTTAAATGCTGTTTGTTCGTTTTTAATTGAATCCCAATTTCTATCCAAATAAAACTTGACACGTTTAACGTATTTAATAAGAAATGCATCAGTCACCATCTTCTAACTAGGAGAAAAATGAAAACTTTTAAGACTGCCGAAACATAGAGACATGATTGCATATAGACCTCCACCACCACAAACTGCAGCACCAGGAAGAATGGTGTTAAAGCTACATCAGCATCCATGACACAATCTTGTGGTGCTATTTAAAGACTTCAAAAGCTGCCATCTAGTGTTCAGGTCATATCTTGATTCCACATTTGTTTCAGAAAGGCTTAATACTTTAGTACAAGTTGGCCCTCTATCTCAGTAATATTAAGCTCTTTCAGCAATAATCAGTGGAGACAATGAAAAAGTAAAGCAGCTCCTAATTTGTTTTCTGGATGTATTGTACGCCCCAATGTCCTTATCTCCACTTCTGTGGGAGTTCTCAAATATGCCTCAAGAAAGTGAAGGGAAAACAGGGCAGCTTGAGATGCCAGAAAGCTTGTCTTTTGGTTGTGTGTGTAACCCACACAGTAAAGTTTCTGAAACCAACAAACTGTGGTAGAGACTGGTGTAGACAATATGTTCAGAGAACTTGCTTTACTAGTAAAAAAGCACCTGAAACTTAACTCTTAATGCAGGATACATATATGAAAAGTATTAACTTGAAAATATTTGCTGATACCGTAAATGCAGTAATAAGTTAAAAATTTATAATATTTGTTTTTTTGTTTTTTGGGTTTTTTTGTATTAGACTCTAAGAATGAAGCTAGCCATGATAATTAACAGGAGAGACCCATATGTTCCCTTCCTCCAGAATTTCAGTTACAATCTCTTAGTGGATAAAATCAAGTCTTACATCGATGATTTCTTGAAAAAAAGTGCAACTAACTTTCTAATTAAGGTATGTTGAGATGAGACATGAAGTTGGTGCTTTAACCTTCCCATGCACTATTTTTATTGAGCTGAAAGAAAAAAAAATCAGGATGATGATTTGAGTGGTCTTGGACAGCTGTTGAACGGAAAAGAGCCTTGCCTTGTCTTACCATGTATGGTTCTGTTAAACAAGATGGCACACTCAGTTGGGAAAAGAAGGAAATAAACTTCACACAAACTGCAGAAAGCAGTTAGGGCGGCTAGGAGCTGGAGCCAGCTTCCAAGGGAAGTAGTGCTGGCTCCTACCCTGGGGATCTTTAAGAAGAGGCTTGATGACTACCTGGCTGGACTCATTTGAGTCCAGTCTTTTCTCCTGCCCAGGCGGGGGGTCAGACTTGAAGATCTACAAGGTCCCTTTCGACCCTACTTCTATGATTCTATGATTCTGTGAAGTCTGCAACCTTATTCCCTATACTCTGTCTTCAGAAAAGCAAAACTAAGAACTAAAGAAGGATCCTATTTAGTGTATGTACAAGAAGACTACTTACCTGGAACTCGCACAAAATAATGTAATTAGTTATTTTATTTTTAACTTACTTGTTTTCCTTACACCAAAAAACTAAAAAGGCCTAAAATGTTAACCTCCAGATAAGAACAGGTAAGAATTTTAGCAGCAATATAGCAATAATTAGATCATCAGCGGTGGTTGGCTTTCTTTTTCCTTTCTTTTGAGAAGTAAACAATACGCTTATTCTGTGGCTCACCACTGATTTTAAAATTGGCAGAAGAAATGTTCCTGCTGCAGTCTTATCTTAAGATGCTTACTAGTTACAGCTTTCATGAATAGCTATTCATTAGTCTAATATAATAAAAGGCTTAGTCTGTCTGTCTGTAACACTTCTGGGCAATTGTGCAGCCATGGCTGAGAGGGTAGGTAGTAATTGTCTGCGCAGCCTGGGCTGCACATGCCCAATTTGCTGGGGAAGCTTGCTGTACATTTTAGGCATAGAAATCTGAGTTCGAAGGTTCTTTCCTGTTCTGTCTTGACAAACTGCAAGTCAAAAGAGTTAAAGTTACCTATATCTGTGCCTGAGAATTAAGAGCATCTTTTCTGGCCATTACCAACCCAAATGTGAGTGCAGCTGCTGTTGTAGCTGATGATGACCCACTTGCATGGCCTGGAAAACATCATGCAGGTGAAATTCTCCCAATACTCTACAAATGCAGTATGAGACAGGAAATACTATTAACAGAGTGTTTAGATTATTACACACAAACTGGAGATACCTTTTGTAATTAGTCACAAGAATTTCAGATGTTACCTTTTGTTTGTAGCTATAACTTTTTTTACGTAAGATTATGTAAATGTAATCTTAAAATTTATGGTATCCCTTTCAAATATTATTTGATACATTAATAGTTGTTGCTTCATTCTTATTTTAATTATTAATAAGCAGAATTTAGGGGTGCTCTGATAGAGATTTTTGGGCCGATTGTCAATAGCCGATTGTCCCGGGAAGTGGGGTAACGCAGGAAACTTACCTGCAGCCCCGAATGACGCACATGGGGAACAGCGGGAGGAAACCGTGCAGCTCGTGAGCTGCCTCTTTGTACAGCTGTGGCCGGCCAGTGACGTCAGCACCAGACGCCAGCCGGCGAAGTTAAAAATGGCAGCGGCCACAGCAGAAGGGGCGGATGGCCCGGGGGTAGAGCGGTTGCAAGCGCCGCCGGAGGAGAAAGCCGGGCGGCTGCAGGCACCACCAGAGAAGGTTCCAGGGGAGACTGGTGAGCCGGAGCAAGGGCTGTGGGATAGAGAGGTGCCCCATCAAGATCTCTTATCGGACACCGGTGGAGTGAGTCCTGGCTTGAAGGAGGAAGAGTGGAGGCATCGACGTGGACGCCACAAGACGAAGGTGGAGTGGTGGGCCAGTAGGGCGGAGGACGGCACGTTGGTAGACGAGCGCCTGTGATGACCCAGACGAGGGGTTGTGGGTGAGACGGTGTCACCAACAAGGTTCGGGAGGGCTAGCGGGAATGGCCTGAACTCCGAGGCTAAGTAGGGAGATTCACGGGGTTTGGTAGAGAAGCACTGAGTCTTGGTTGTTGCAGGTGAAATTCCCCTGAGTGGGGAATTTGGGATGAGGGGACTCGGGGTATGAGGTATAGGGAAGCTAGGGGCAGTTCCCAGGAGGAAGTGTCTTGTGGGACAGGAGTATAAGTGAAGCCAGGCTGGGGTGCGTGACCCATCCCAACGGCAGGTCAGTGCGCAAGTTGGGAGGGCGTGATCTGCCGAAGGACATCATCGAGGTGACCCAGCAAGGTGGCGTGAGGTTGGGGTGTAGGGGTGGTGGAGCCCCCTAAACCCACTGGGTCAGACCCGGGCACCGAGGGACCCGCCAGCTGACCCCGCCCATTGCGGAACATCAAGACATGGCAGGCAAGCGTGGGGTCTGCGGCACGGGAGGATAGAACTACCTCAAAGTTACTGAGGGTCCGGAAGAGGCATGAAATCAGAAGAGAGATCCGAGCCACCATCCCGTGGCTAGCGAAAGCCCGGCGGTGACACCAATTTTTAAGGAGGGATATTGGCTGATACCAGTCTGATTTCTGAAATGCAGCCTGGCAGCTTGAAGAGCAGTGTCCAGGTAGTAAGTCCGTCGTGGTGGAAGGGTGTGGGGGGAGGGGACAGATCAAGGTCCCTGCGATGAGGGAGCGAGTGGGGTTGGGGCAGAGTGCGAGATGGAGATGCAGCTTATTCAGTGGGGGGGCGTGTGTCTCCGGATCTGCGTGTGAGGTAGGCTGGGCTGCTGCTGTGGTCTGGGGGCAGTGTCAGGCTTTTCCCAGAGTGTGGCTGGGCCGGGTTGCACTTGGAGTGGGTGGCGGCAGCACGGGATGGGTGTTATATGGGGGCTGGAGTCCCCATATAAATTCACTGTAGCTCCCCCAGTCCCCCCTCCCAGCCTGCCTGGTGCACAAATCCGGTGGTACACACAACCCTATGCCCTACTGGGATGTGCACAGCAGTGGGAGCTGCCCCCCACCACGTTCCCCAGATGAGCCACGGCTCCATCCTGTGCTCTGCTCCAGCCCCACTCCCTCCGTCACCATGGGGGCCCAAAATGACCTTCCCCCTCCCCTTCTACCAGAAGAGGCTTACCAGCTGGACACAGCTCTCCACACTGCTGGGCTGTGCTCCTCACTGCCTACATGCTGTGCTGCGGCTGTGCGTTTGCACTGGGCATTTATCATCCACATTATCAACCACATCAGGCAAAAAAAGCCGGGGGGTTTTTGTGTTTCTTTTGGGGGGTTTTTCCCCGATGCAGTAAATTTTCTTTATATCAGTGCCAATCTGATATCAAACCAATGTATCAGTGCACCTCTAGCAAAATTGTAAAGACAAACAGTGCCATTGATACTGTTACTGTCATAACCACTCCAAATGCACCTACCGTATCTCCATTTGATATATCTGGTAAGCTCAAAATTTTAGTTTTAAAACTTAAGGGAGGGAACTGACAGGCCTTATTTTTATTATTTATTTATTTTTACAAATATTTTGAATTCTTCCTTTTAATTCTTGAACTCATTATAGAACTGATCTAAGATGTACCAACCACATACATCACCTACCTACCCTTCTTTGCTATATGAACCTGCAATGCATAACTAATATATGCTGTATCAACAGTGGTCCTCTTAATTTTACTCTGAAATATTGAGTGGTCTTGAACTTAATGTCCTAACTGAGCTTTAGTTCTTCATTAATGCTGCTGAAATACACTTGACCTGGCTCTTAATGGTAAAATGTTCATTTTAGAAAGTTTACAAGGTAAGCATAGTATGGTAGAACTCAGATCATTCTTTTGGGGGTAGTTTGCAGCC